TAGAAGTACTCTGTTTCATTGAATGTTCATCTCCTCCCCTGAAAGTTTATGCTCATTTTCACTGGGTAGTTGATCCTTGGTTGTAATCCAAGCTCCTTTGCCTTACAGAGTATCCTATTCCATGCCCTACAACCTTTTAATGTAGAAGCTGCAAGGTCCTGTGTAATCCTGACTGTGGTTCCATGATATTTAAATGGTTTCTTTCTGGCTGCTTGCAGTATTTTCTCTTTGATCTGGTAATTTTGGAATTTGGCTACTATATTCCTTGGCATTTTCAATTTGGAATCTCTTTCAGGAGGTGAATGGTGGATTCTTTCTATGGCTATTTTATCCTCTGGTTCCAGAACCTCAGGGCAGTTTTCTTTGATGATTTCCTGAAAGATGCTGTTCAGGCTCTTTTTTTCATCATGGTTTTCAGGTAGACCAATAATTTTTAAATTGTCTCTCCTGGATCTATTTTCCAGGTCACTTGTTTTACCAATGAGGCATTTTACATTTTCATCTGTTTTCATTCTTTTGTTTCTGTTTGACTAATTCTCACTCTCTCATAGAGTCATTAGCTTCCACTTGCCTAATTCTAATTTTTAACAAATTGTTTTCTTCTATTAGATTTTGTACCTCCTTTTCCATTTGACCCATTTTATTTTTTAAGGAATTCTTATTCTCAGTGAGTTTTTGTGTCTCCTTTTCCATTTGGCCAATTCTGCTTTTTAAAGAATTGTTTTCTTTAGTACTTTTTTCCAGTTGGCCAATTGTATATTTTAGGTACTTGTTTTCTTCGGCGTACTTTTTTTTCCATTTGACCAATTGTAGCAGAAGACCCCACAATTGTATTTTTTAAGGACTTGTTTTCTACAGTTAATTTTTGTCCTTTTTTTCCAAACTATTGACTCTCTCTTGCATGCCTCTCATTTCTTTTCCCAGTTTTCCTTCTACCTCTCTTATTTGACTTTTAAATTCCTTCTTGAGCTCTTCCAAGAAGGCTTTTTGGGCTTCAGACCAGTTCATTTTCCCTTTTGAGGTTTTGGATGTGGGTTTGTTGACAATGTTGTCCTGTTCAGAATTTCTGCCTTGATCTTCACTGTCCCCATAAAAAGAATCTCTGGCCATTGTATGTTTCTTTTTTCTTATGGTGTTTGCTTATTTCCTGACTTTTAAAAAAATTGAGGTCTCCCACTGGTGAACAGGGGGCACTGACTCAAGCTTCTTGTGTTGGGAGCCTAGGGCCTGATCACTGGCTTTGTGTGCTGGAGCCTCAGATGCTGGCAGTTGAAGGGTGTAGGGTTCTTGGAGCTTACCTGATGTTGGGCTGGATCAGCAACACTGGAGCTCTAGGGGTAGGGGTGGGGAGTCTGGCCCGTGGAAGATACCTGTTCACCCAGGCCTTTCATTCCTTTCTTTGGCTCCTTGCAGTTAGATGTTTTGTTGCTGCAGGATGTTTCTCTGCTGGAGCTTTCTCTCTTGGAGTTGTGCTTTCCAGAGTTTTGGTGAGGCACTGGGAGACTTGGCTGTGATAGATCACTGTGGCACATGGGGGTTTTTTGAGTCAGTTTCCACTGGTTACCCTTTCCTGTTCTGAGGCACTTGGGGTCCTGGTGTTGGTACTTGCCTGCTCTACCACCTGGGGTTCAGCATCTCCTCTTGGTATGCTGAGGTGGGGCTTTCTGCTAGCTGTCTGGGATGCCTCCCATTCTGTACTTCTCCTCCTCTCTCAGAGCAAGAGGGGTTTTTCCCCTTAATCACCCCTAAGCTTCCTGGGCTAGAGTACTGCTGTACCCTGTCTTTCTGCTGGTTCAAGGTTTTTCCTGGGGTGATATTTTCTAGGCTTCCAGAAGTTAATAAGGGAGGGTGAGAGTGACTTACTTCTTACTCCCAAGGTGGGATTTTAGAAAGTGAAAATAAAGAAGGCAAGGAAGGTGAGCAGAGTGGAGGAGGGAGAGTATTCCAGACATAGGGTACAGCTAGAGAAAATGCCCAGAGGTGAGAGGTAGAAGGTTTAATTCATGGAAAATCCAGGAGGCCAGAGTCATTGGATTGAAAAGTCATTTTTGAAGAATAAGTTGTAAGACTGAAAGATAGGCGGGGGCTAGATTGTGAAAGGGCTTTGAAATAGGAGAATTCCTTGTACATCCACAAAGTTATTTTCAAATAAATCCCATCTTTTGTCCTTCCTGGAACTATTTCCCTTTTTTTTCTTCAAAATTTCATTTTTGAGAATCACCCATCCCTCCTAAGCTCATTCCCTTGAAGTATTTTAGTCCATGGGACCTATCAATATTTCCTCTGTACCCTTTGAAATCTGCCCTCCAAAAACCTACGGTGCCCATCAAAATACACCCAGATTTCTTATTCTTCTCTATGACAAATTCTATGTCGGTGTAGTCACTTAATCACAAAATTCCCATCATTTCTACTCCAGAAGCCAATTCCTCTCTATTGGTGAGAATTAGATCCAGAATGACATGTCACTATACTGGTTCCTCTGCTTTTTAAAAGATGAAATTAGCAGAAGGAGAGCTTCAGGAAACATTTGTTAAATTAAGTTTCTCCATTGCTACTCTGTTGTTCCTCTCTCAAGCTTCTGATTTATATCCCAATTCTAGTAGTTTTTGTTCAGTTCTTTCTAAACTGTCTGACTCTTACTGACACTGTTTAGAGTTTTCTTGGCAAAGACACTAAGGTATTTTACCGTTTCTTTCTCCAGATCATTTTGCAGATAAGAAAATTATGAAAACAGGGCTAAGTTTCTTGACCAGGGTCATACAGCCAGTGTCTGAAGTCCAGATTTGACCTCAGGTCTTCCTGACTATAGGCCCAGTGCTCTATCTACTGTACCACTTAGGTGTCCTCCAAGCTGTTGTCTTCCAAACTCTTCAACTATTTCATCCTTCTATCTTTTCCCTTTCACCTTTAACTGATTGTTCTCTGACTTCCTCTAGCTTCTGGGCTTTTGAATTGTCATCTGCCTTCCAGGATTAGGATCACCATGTACTTTGAGTTTCTGAGCACTGGATTTTCATGGCCCTTTAGGAATCTCAGGGCAGAATTCTAGGAACATTGGAGCACCCCCAGTATCCTGCTCTGAGTGCTACCAGCTCCCTCTGGTCAAGGTCAAGTGCATGATGCTGTCTCAAACACTGGAAGAGGAAGAGACAATGAGAGTCCTCAAGAGACTGTGTTGCCTCACTTTTCAAAAATTGCTCAATCCATGACACCTGAGTGATTTCTTGCTCTCTCTTAGCCCTTTCCTTCTACCTTCCATCCTCTGTGGTGCCTAAATATACAAAAGAGTAATAGAAAAAATGTCTTCCTTCTAGACAGTGGAAGCCACAAGAAGAAAAATAATAGTAACTTGTATGCCAACTGCACTTCCTGAAGAGTTGAAAAATACTTGACATCTGGACACCTTTGACCAGCTTGGGGAGGACTCCAATGCAGTGGATGAGGTTGCATAGTTGGGGCCTTAAGAGACATCCGAGAAGCCCCTCCCCCATGAAATGTGTATATGACCACTGGCGCCTTACTGACCACACCCAGAGAACTCAAAATGATAGGCTGAGACTCAAGGTGTCAGACTCCCATTCAGGAACATCATTTCTACTTCCGTATTATATGAAAATGAGCTTTGAGAATGACCCATCCATTTTTTTTGCTTTCTCTCCTTCAGAGCTTCTTCTGCCTCACTTCTTTTCTCCAGAGTGTAGCATGAATGTGAGCCAGAAAGCTTTCACCTTACTCCCATATAAGGGGCAGTTGATGGTGATTTGCACAGAAGCACTTGTCAAATGCAGACATGCCTTCACATGGTCTGAGAGAGGAGTTCATAGGCCATGTTCAAGAAACCAAACTCTTGTTATGAGCAGGAGGGATTTGGAATTCACTAAGTATGAAGTCACTGGAATCCAACTTTCCTTCTAGGGAAGGGAGACTTCCTGAATAGCATCAACCCCAAAGTTGCCTTGAATGTATTAATGAATGAAAAAAAGAATGCAAGGGCATTTATTCATACCATTATTTAATAATGGCAATATTAAAAGGACAAAAAGCTCTGAAAGACTTAGAAACTCTGAGCAACACAATTATCAGCCAAAATTCCTGAGGACTCAATGAATATGCTGCCCATCATCTGACAAAGAGGTGAAGGACTCAGGGTAAAGAATTAGACATATGTTTTTTTGTTTTTTTTTTGTACCTGGCTAACACAGAATCTTATTTTACTTAGCTATATATATTTGTTGAAGGAGTTTTTTTTATTTTGCTTTCTTAATTGGAAGGGATATGGTGAGGTGGGAGGGAGACAATGTAGATTTGAAATAAAACAAAATTTCATTTAAAAAAGGAAAGAATAATAACTTTCAGGAGCTCTGCAAAGCACTAGCTATACAAACATTTCAATGAAAACAGTCTTTACCCTCAAGGAGCTTACATCATCATAGGAGAGAGTACATATAAGGGAATGTCATCAAGGAAGTGTGATTTTGTCAAGGAAGCTACAGAGATGGTGACTGGCATCATAGGGTAATTGATTGATATGTCCTTTCCAGGAATGCTACAGTGATAATATTGATTGGATCACTGTTCTCCAACAAGAGGCAGAAAGAGGGTCAAGGGGAAAGGGGAACACAAAAAGACCTATGTCATGATGATGGCAGGGCTGTTCTGTGCTTGTCCGGGTGTGCTGGACCTGATTTGAGCTAGTCTTCCTTCTCCCATCAGCAGCTTTGGGCCCAAAGCTTGAGTTAGAGTTGGAATACATTGTCTGAGGCTTAGGATAGATTTATCATCATCATCATCACCATCATCATCATTGCATTATTGTTATTATTCCTCAGCTAAGGATGCTAAGGTTCACAGAGTTTAAGAGAGCTGCCAGTGGTCGCACAGGTAGTAAGTGACAAAGTTGGGTATTGCAATAATATCTTCTTGACTCCAAGTCTATGTTCTGAATTAGAATTCAGTTGTCTTGATACTACAAAGAATGAAAGAGTTGGTAAAGTTCTTTAAGGACTCAATGTGGCTTCTTTTCCCCTAGAAAATACCAGGTGATCCTCAGAAGTACCCAGAGGGCTTGTAGATGACTTATTCTGGCAGCACCTCATCAGCCATGACACCCTCAGGGCAGCCTTTCTCAGCTTGCTGTTCCACAGAATCAGGACCACTGAGTGGCCAAAGGTATAGAACAACATAATTGACATACTCAACATGAAAGGCAGTTTTTTATTTTCATTTATGCTGCTCCAATAGCTGAAAAAGAAACTCATATAGTACAATAAAGAGAGGAGCAGGAAGGAGCACCCAGCTTTCATGGCTTGAATGTGGGCTTCTGTGCTAGGGTCTCTAGAACCTGTGGTATTGCATTGCGTCTGTCTGGTATGCCTCCACAGGGGGACAATGAATAGGGAGAAGGATGTTGTAGACAGTATAAAAGGAATAAGACTCAGAAGTCCAAAGACAACCTGTAACATGAGGAGCATACTTTTACTCACTTGGACCTCTTCAGACACATTTCTCTCCTTTCCTCCATAAAAGAGGCTGTCATAGTAATAATATGTCCTCTCAATCATGGGAAAGTCTATGGGAAAATAGATAATCAAGGGCCCAATAAGAAGCATGATGACCATCCTGTCAATTTTCCATTTCTTTTTTTTCCCCATTTTAACAGTTTTATTGTTCTGCCAAGAGATTTTGCATATTTTCACAAGAAGAATCACTTTTAATCCTTGCTATAAACTTGTGATATGAGTAAAATGAATATCATTATCCCGACTTTACAGATGAAGAAATTGAGATAAGCCTGACGTGACAAAATCACACATCTAGAATTTTGATTTTTGTCCAAAAACCAATTATTTTGTTTCCTAATACACTGACTTTTCTAAAATATTTTCTCCTGCCTCATCTTTGTAATTATACAGTAACATAGCAAGCACTAATATACTTATTCTTTTTTTAGAGATGAAGATTTAATTTATTTTTTTGTTTTCAACATTTACTTCCACAAGATTTTGAGTTCCAAATTTTCACCCCATCTTGCTCCTCTCCCCACCCCAAGATGGCATGCATTCTAAATACCCCTTCCCCTAGTCTGCCTTCCCTTCTATCTCTCCCCACCTTCTCTTATCCCTTTCCTCTTCAATTTTCCTGTAGGGCAGGATGGATTTCTCTACCCCATTTCCTGTATTTCTTATTTCCCAGTTGCATGTGAAAAGATTTTTTTTAAACATGTATTTTTAAAACTTTGGGTTCCAAATTTTATCCCTTCCTCCCTCCCCACCCACCCTCATTGATAAAGCAAGCAACTAAATATAGGTTATATATGTGCAGTAATGCAAAACACTTCCATAGCAGACATGCTGTGAAAAACTAACTCTATTTCCCTTAATCCTATCCTGCCCACCCATTTATTCTATTCTTTCTTTTGACCCTGACCCTCCTCAGAAGTATTTGCTTCTGATTACTCCCTTTCCCAATCTGCCCTCCTCTTTATCATTCCCCTACTCTCTTGTCCTCTCCCCCCCCCATTTTCCTGTAGGAGAAGACAGATTTCCACACCCAATTGAGTGTGTATGCTATTCCCTCCTTAAGTCAAATCCTATGAGAATAAGATTCACTCATTCCCTCTCACCTTCCCCCATTTCCCCTCCACTGTAAAAGCTTTTTCTTTTCTGTTGTATATTTTTTGTGGGATAATTTACCCTGTTCTACCTCTCCCTTTCTCCTTCTCCTAGTATATTACTCTCTCACTCCTTAATTTTATTCTCCAGATATGGCACCTTCATTTTCAACTCACCTTGTGCCCTCTATCTATCTATTTATATCTATGTATACATAAATATAATTTTTCCCCTCCAACTACCCTAATACTGACAAAGGTCTTATGAGTTACAAATATCATTTTTCCATGCAGGAATGTAAACAGTTCAACCTTAATAAGTCTCTTATGATTTTCTCTTTCCTGTTTACCTCTTCATGTTCCACTCGAGTCTTGTATTTGAAAATCAAATTTTCTATTCAACTCTGGTCTTTTCATCAAGAATGCTTGAAAGTCCTTTATTTCACTGAATGACCATTTTTTCCCCTGAAGGATTATGCTCAGTTTTGCTGGGTAGGTGATTCTTGGTTGTAATTCTATCTCCTTTGCCATCCAGAATATTATATTCCTTGCCTTGCGGTCCCTTAATGTAGAAGCTGTTAAATCTTGTGTTATCCTGATTGTGTTTCCACAATACTTGAATTGTTTCTTTCTGGCTGTTTGTAATATTTTCTCCTTGACCTGTGAACTTTGTAATTTGGCTACAATATTCCTAGGAGTTTTCCTTTGGGGATCTCTTTCAGGAGGAGATCGGTGGATTCTTTCAATTTCAATTTCGCCCTGTGGTTCTAAAATATCAGGGCAGTTTTTCTGGATAATTTCTTGAAAGATGATGTCTAGGCTCTTTTTTGATCATGGCTTTCAGATAGTTCAATAATTATTAAATTTTCTCTCCTGGATTTATTTTCCAGGTCAGTTGTTTTTCCAATGAGATATTTCACATTGTTTTCTAATTTTTCATTCTTTTGGATTTGTTTTACAGTGTCTTGATTTCTCATAAAGTCACTAGCTTCCAATTGCTCTATTCTAATTTTTAAGGAAGTATTTTCTTCAGTAATCTTTTGGACTTCCTTTTCCATTTGGCCAATTTTGCTTTTTAGGGCATTCTTCTCCTCATTGGCTTTTTGGACCTCTTTTGCCATTTGGGTTAGGCTATTTTTTAAGGTGTTATTTTCTTCAGTATTTTTTTGGGTCTCCTTTAGCAAGCTGTTGACTTGTTTTTCATGATTTTCTTGCATCACTCTCAGGTTTTTCTCTACTTCTCTTACTTGCTTCTCAAAATCCCTTTTGAGCTCTTCCAAGGCCTGGGACTGATTTATTTTTCTTGGAGGCTTTGGATGTAGGAGCTTTGGCTTTGTTGTCTTCTTCCGGTTGTATGTTTTGATCTTCTTTGTCACCAAAGTAAGATAATATAGTCTGACTCTTTTTGTGCTGCTTACTCATGATCCCAGCCAATTACTTGAGTTTTAAACTCTTTGTTAAGGTAAAAGTCTGCTTCCAATGTGAACAGTGTACTGTCCCAAGCTTCAGGGGTTTGTACAACTGTTTTCAGAGGTACTTCTAGGGACCTGTAAATTTTCAGTTCTTCCAAGGTGGTATGATAAGGAGCGAGGTGTTTCCTCTTCACCACCACAACAAGCTCCACCACGCCAGCTTTCCTCCTCACCCCAGGACTGCCTCTCAGAACTGCTACCCAGATCAAAGCACCAGTAAAGCAAGAGATTCCTGCCTCAGCACTGGCAAAGAGATCCCTGCAATCCCTCTCTGACCAGCCACTTGATTCCCCCTCAGTCTGTGGGCCAGAAGTTCAGGGAAAAAGCCATGGCCCCGAGCCGTGCTAGAGACTTGCCGCTGAGACCTAGCTCCTCTCTCACCACAGTCACAAACTTTTCCCACTGATCTTCTAAGTAGTCTTTGGTGTTCAGGGTTTGAGAAGTCTGGAAACCACCACAGCTGCCTGAGATTCAGTACTCTGAGGCCTGCTCCAGGGTTGCTGCAGCCTGCGCGCCCATGCCAAACTGCTCTCCTCTCCCTGCCTGGCGTGATATACCTTTCTGATTAACCATCCAGGTTGTCTTTGGCTGGAAATTTGTTTCACTCTGTCTTTTTGTGGGTTCTGCTGCTTTAGAATTTATTTAGAGCAATTTTTTATAGGTATTTGGAGGGCTTTGGGAGAGAGCTCAAGACAGTCACTGCTTTCCCTCCGCCATCTTGGCTCTGCTCCCCCCCCCCCCCATTATCCTTTTCATCCAGAGGAAGAACAGATTAGAGAAATTGGTGATCTTCAGCGAGTGGAAGATGCTGAGCAGAGTGGAAAACCAAACACTTGACTTATGAGTTAGCACCAAAAAAATGTCATTTATTCTTACTTAGGTGGGTAGATCAATAGAGATTAAAATTAAATAGCTATCCCATACTATTACATATGACAGTCCAATTTTGGAGATGGTCAAGCTGAGCAGGATGACATCACTTGGGGGCAGTTTCTTGCTCTTGACCCAGTCAATCCAATTCACCAGAACTATGAATCTATTTATCAGAATGCCCAATAGGCATTCAGCAGATGCCAGAACCATAAAAATCTTCTTCTCACTATTTAGCATGACAGCAGAAAGGAGATCACTTAGGAAGGTGCCAATATCTATAATACTTTTGATGCTATTGCTGTTGGATTAATTTCCAGGCAAAATGAGAATGGAATGATATGTCCTTTTGCTACTTGGTGATGCAGTAATTGTATTCTCTGTCTTTGATAAAGTTTGTGTGTTAGGCAAGAAAATGTCTAATCATGTGCTATAATATCTTCATTAAGATATCCTCTGTGCCTTCCCAGCAGCTCAGTTAAATCTGCGCAGCCAAGACATTCTCTCTCTGTGGCTTTTTTATTTCCTCTGGAGAGATGATTATGGAAAAGATTAGAGTCCTGTGTTAAGATGCAAATAGGGAGAGATCATCTTTCAATATTTTCCTCTTTGTGTCTCAGCCTATTTTGTGTCCAAACACGTGGGCTGTGTTTGGATGAACTTCACCCACTGATGTATAACATGGGGAATGTAACAGAGCCTTAAGTATAGAGATCTTGCTTTATCTTTATCATCTTCCATCATTTTCCAATATTGAATATTGATATTTCCACTAATTATTTATAAAACCAAATTAATACTGGTTATTTCTGGTAAGTCACATTCAGTTTTGAAAATTATAAATGAATTGCAGTTTAATGGGCTACTAATCTAGGTAGTTTATACTCAAAAGAAAAACTTTTCTTTCACTTTTCCTGGTAACTCAGGTAAAGCAGTATATCTTATCAATTCTACTGTAATAACATAGACTTCACATCAGGCAGGAAAATACAAACTATTTGTCAACCACCATCTTTTGGTTGAATTCTGTGCACAATAATCATATAGAAAAAAGATGATAATATTTTTCATTTGTCTAGTGTCTTGTTTTCCAAAATTTTTTTATAGTAAACCTTGGAGGTGTGAATTTAAGGGATATTTTTTTCCTCTCTTTATAGTTAAAAGAACAGATTTAGCAAGGTGAGATGACATATCCAGGTATCACAGAATCAAAAGTCTGAACTAGGATTTTAACCCAGGTGTATGCTGATGGATAGCCAGCTAGTATAAGTAATCACCTACTTAAAAGTCAACTGATCTATAATAAATGTAATATTAGACACCATTCACTTACTCAGTTTTTCACTTCTTAAACCCACAGGTAGGTTTGGATGCTTGGCAGTTGAATTCAAAGGACCTCATTGTCCCATATCTTATCTTCCCAGGTAATTTTTCAAAATCCTCCCAAGACAATTTAAATGGAAATTGTTCAAATTTCTGGCATGGCACTGGTAAAATGTCCAAGTTTCAGAGGTATACAACACTGAGATCAGCACAATGCCTGCCAGCCTGCTCCCGAGCTTTTTAGCATGATGTTTTCAGTGATATTGTCACACACTTTCAACAAGAATGAAAATGGCATCAAGGTCTGTTGATGCACTGATGGTAAATTATTTAACTGGAAAAGGCTACAAGCCAAGACTAAAGTGGTGAGAGAATTGGTGCATGACTTTTTGTTTACTGATAATTGTGCACTCAGTGGAGACTCTGATGTTCAAATGCAATAGAGTGTGGATTGATTCTCTGACACTTGTGTTAATTTTGCCCTGACAATTAACACCAAGAAAACAGAGGTTCTCCCCTAGCCAGCAGCACATTATCCATATGTGGAACTATCTGTCATAGCAATTGGAGATATTTTGAATTTTGTGGATAAGTTCACTTACCTTGGCAGCATACTTTCCAAGGATGTACACATAGAAGATGAGGCTGATGTAAGCACTGCCAGAACTAGCTCAGTGTTTGGGAGTTTCCAAATGAAAGTGCTAGACAAACGAGGCCGACTACCAAACTGAAGGTCTACAGAGCTCATTGTTGTATGCCTGTGAAACCTGGACAGTCTACTAGAACCTTGCCAGGAAATTGAAACATTTCCTTTTGAATTGTCTTAGGAAGGTTCTGGAGATCACCTGGCAAGGGAAGGTAGCAGATAATGAAGTACATTCTGGAGCTGAACTGCCAGGCATTCAAACCGTACTGCAGAAAGCACAACTCCAATGGGCTGGCCATATTGTTTAAATGTCAGCCATATGTTTGCTAAAAAGATCATTTCACAGAGAACTCCCACAAGACAAGCACTCATACAAAGGTCAGAAGCATTACATGGACACTCTCAAAGTCTCTCTGAAGAAGACTGTAATCATTTGGGAGATGTGAGAGACACTGGCACAGGACCATCAGGCATGAAGTGTCTGCATGAAAGAAGGTGCCGTGCTCTATGATCAAAGCAGAATCACAGTACTTCAAAAGGAATGTGAAACGCACACATTTAGAGACATCTTCATTCCAGTGTTCATGAGGACTATTTCGGTCCAACCTGTGCTGGAGCCTTGTGAGCTCAAATTCAGCCACAGCTGGACACAGTACACATTGACCCCAACATAATGATATCTTTTGGGTCCTCTTTGAGAATGAAGACAACCACCACTACTAACATCAAATTCTTTCCATTATATCAGCAACACTGATGAAAAAAGCCACTTGTTCCCCTAATCTTTTTAGTTCCTTGACAAAGATTCCATAAATCTGTATTTTAAAAAGAAAGAAAGCATATAATCTTTTATTACTGCAATAGTAGCAATCAAATAACAGTTTTAGTTAGATTAATACAAAAGAGAAAGGAATTTTAGAATGTTCATATTTATTTACTTAAAAGCACTTAAGATAAATTAGAAATAATAGCAAAATAAAAGGAGGAGGAGGAGTAAGTGCTAAATATTCCAAGGGAAAAATTCCTATCTACAATAAAAAGGGAATTAAACTTCAGGGAAAGATAGGAATGAATATATTAAAGCAAAAAAAAAAAACTTCTCATTTTCGTTCCTTATGTCTAACTCTTCACCTATGTTTCTTGTAAACAAGAGATTTTTGGGTCTTATTTGCTTATCCATTGTGCAATCCTCTTTCATTTCGTGGTGATTTTTAGTACATTAACATTTAAAGTCCTGAGTGTTGGATTTCTATATTTGTTTCTTCAATTTTGCTTTTAAAAATACCTCCTTTTGGGGAGCCAAGACAGCAGTATAAGCAGTAAGTCACTCTCCCTTATTGACCTTGAAAAATCCAGAAAATACCACCTCAGGAAAAATCCTAAAACTTTTTTTTTTAGCTTGTAGGGTTAGGGGGAATTAATAGGAAAAGTTTCTCTTGCTGTGGCTGAAGGTGACCAGTACAGAACGGGAGGCATCCTGGTAAGCCAGCAGTGAGCCCCTCCTAAACAATCCAGCAGGAGATCTTGAGCCCCAGGGACATGGAGTGGGGAAGTGTCAATACCACGACCCCTGGGTGCCTCGGCATAGCCAGGGGAATCAGTATACACCAGCACAGAGAACCACCACTTACATGGACATCCACAAGTAGCTGAGCCTACCCATGCAAAGCCCTGGGTAAGGAGGCAACCTCCAGTGACCAGCCCACCCCCACCCCTGTACCCCACTCTGGGAGGTTCAGTGTAACCTTGGGGAAATGCAGAAAAACCCCACCTGGCCTTGGCACACACCAGCCACCACCACCAGCTCCAACTTAGCACCAGACAACCTACATCTTCTATAGCCTCCAGCTGCCAGAATTGGAAGCCCCAGCACACAAAGATAATAACCAGGTCCTTAATTCCCAGCACAAGAAGTGTGGGACAGTACCCCTGTGCCCCAGAAGCAGAAATCAAAAAAGCCAGGGAAAAGGCAAACACCTTGAGTAAGAAGCAACATAGAAAACAAAGACCATAGATTCTTACTACTGGGACAGGAAAGATCAAAACACTAATTCAAAAGAAGAGAGCATTGTCAATATACCCACATCTGAAACCTTAAAGGGAAATATGAACTGGTCTGAAGGCCAAAAAGCCTTCTTAGAAGAGCTCAAGAAGGATTTTAAAAGTCAAATAAGAGAGGTAGAAGAAAAATTGGAAAAGGAAATGAGAGATATGCCAGAGAGAGTCAATAGCTGGGACAAGCAAGGATGAAATTGACTGCAGAAAATAAGTCCTTTAGGGGCAGCTGGGTGGTGCAGTGGATAGAGTACTGGCCCTAAAGTCAGGAGGACCTGAGTTCAAATCCGGCTTCAGATGAAACACTTGACACATACCAGCTGTGTGACCTTGGGCGAGTCACTTAACCCCAATTGCCTCACCAAAAAAAAAAAAAAGGAATTAAGTCCTTGAAAAATACATTGGGTGAGTTCCCCTTCTGGGAACCAAGATGGTGGACTAAGAAGTAAGTCACTCTCACCCTCCCTTATTGACCTCTGAAAGCCCAGAAAATATCATCCAGGAAAAACCCTGGAACAGCTGAACTAGTAGAAAGACAGGGTGCAGCAGTCTTTTTAGCCCAGGAAGCTTGGAGGATTAATAGGAAAGGCCCCTCTCACTCTGGGGGAGGAGGAACAGTACAGAACAGGAGGCATCCCAGCAAGCCAGCAGAGATCCCCACCTCAGGATACCAGGGGGATAGCCTGAACCTCAGAGTGGTGGAGCAGGCAAGAACCAACACCAGGACTCCCAAGTGCCTCAGTACAAGCAGGGGAACTGGTAGACATGAGTTCAGAAAACCACCATGTGTCACGGCATTTTCTGGCAGTCAAGTTTCCTGGTGCATTAGCAAAACTATGAAAAACACAACTCCAAGAGGTAAAGTATCAGTCTGAGAGACATTCTCCAACAGCAAAACATCCCTGTGTAAGGCCCAGGTGAGTAGTCATCCTCCAGGGGCCAGACTCCCCACCCCTACCCCTAGAGCTCCAGTATTGCTGATTCCAGCCCAACACCAGGTAAGTTCCAAGAACCCTACAGACTCCAACTGCCAGCACCAGAGGCACAAGCACACAAAGCCAGTGACCAGGTCCCATGTTTCCAGAACAAGAAGGTTGAGTCAGTGCTCCCTGTTCCCCGGTGGGAGAGTTCAATTTTTTTTTAAAGTCAGGAAATAAGCAAACACCATGAACAAAAAGAAACATACAATGACCATAGATTCTTATTATGGAGACAG